TAAAAAATCTCTACATTTACTATTTGAAGATTTTATATATAATTTATATATAAATCTTGTATAACCTGCATCATATAACTCTCTAGATAACTGCTATTAAATTTTAATTTTAGATTTTAAAATCTAAAATAATTTTATAATATATATAAAATAGATAATAGTAATAACTATAGTAGCTTGCAAATACTTGTTTTCAAACTTAATATAAGTTATTAAAAAAAACCAGATTATATAGAAAAAGTAAATACTAAAAGCTTTAACATATGATTTTTTAAAAATACATTAAAAATAATTATTTTATAAATGATTTGTAATAATTTAGAAGATGTAAAATAATATATATATCTTATATTTTAGATGAAATTAAATCAAATTAGTATAAGAAACTTAGATTAAGAGATTTAAATAAGAGATTTATAAGCAAATCCTAGATATACATATAGAAAGTAACTATAATAGCATAGTAAAACTTTTAAATAAAACAAAAACTAAAATTATATATATGTTTATATATATCTTTATCAAAATATACTATGTTTAAGACCCCTGAAAATACCATTAATCCCTTGTACATCTAATAAAAATAATAAGCCAAAAAGGCTAACCTTGATTACAAAAAAAAACAAATTATATTTGTTTATTTTTTATAATTCAGCAATCCTGCCTCTGTTTATTTAGAAACAGCTATTTACAAAATCTCTGTATTATAATTAATAACTTCTAATTATCACTTTCAAATCTTGTTTGTAAGATTTTACAAAACTTATTTAATTTTTAACAAAAACTTACCAATATTATAATTATTTTTGATTAATATTAATAAAATATAGATTATTCGAAATCCTTTCTTTTTTTTTACCGAATTTAATTGGTAAGTTTCGAAAAATCACTAGAATAAAAAGTCTAGCCTTTTTTTGAATTATATAAATTCAACTGTACAAAATTAACCAATTGCAAGAAAGTAGTCTATAAAATCGATCCGTATAAAATCCTATTAGATTCTTCGACTGCCAGTTTTATCAGCGCAATCGATAAAATTTAAACTTTGACTTAATTATTAATGCTGATACATAAAAAAATACAAATTAAGATTTTGTCAAATTATTTATAAAGTTAAATTTAAAAAAAATAATATGCCTTATCTGCCTGGATTAAAGTTCTGGTTTACTGACCTCTGTAAGTTAAATCAAAACTAAAAATTATAAAGGAATTATCCACCATTTTATTTACCACATATATTTTTTCACATTCTGCTTCTCTCGTTGATTTTAATATAAAATAAATGTATTCTATTAATATCTTATTGTAATACATAATATCAAAGCCTCTATAAAGTCTATATTAATTTATTTAGAAAATATGATAAACTACAAATTAAATTATCGATATTATTACTTTTCAGAAAAAACCCTCAAAATTAAGGACAGAAAAATTTGCCCAAAATTTTCATAGCATAATCGGCTTCCTCTATCGATTATATTTGTAATTGCATATGCAATGATGTCAGAAACTAAATATTTACACGGCCGCCAAGTACCATAATACATTAGCTGTTTTGTAAATCAGCTTCGGAGTCAACAATATTAGCAATATTTAGCATTTGTTTCAACCCCTGATTTTCTACTTTCAGACTTTCTATTAGAATATCTGTATCCAAATCAGTTTGAGCATCGTAAGCTTCCCTGACTAAACTACTGATATTGGAAATATATGATTGTAGGGTGACATTTTCTGATAACACTTGTGATGTCGTTGCCTTATGGAGCATGAACTTCAATGATTAATAATAAAAATGA